GTGTTTCCATTGAGCAAATTTATTTTCAAAACTCTAATTTGTGCATTTTCATGGTCAATGGAAACGCAGCTGGTGTAGCAGTTCCTTTAGGAAATGTTTGATGTAGAAAAAAGCTGTGGCTGGAGCAGATGGTGTGCTGTGTGTAACTAAGCTGATGTGAGTGTGTCCACACCTCCACACAGTTGTCGCACACAGAGCAGTGGGAGCATCGTGGTGGTCTGTAGAAACGACACGTTGAACACCACTTCATCCTGACCTGGATCCCTCTGATTTCCACTGTTTTGTAAAGAGGAGCACGGAAATCGTCCTCTTTGTCCTCATCCTCCTCAGCTGATGGATAACAAACATCATATTATACAGCAACACAATCACTGCTTAATGACGCCTGCACTTTAAGGCCACTTGAATGCCACAATAAAAAATAACACTTTTAGAAAACTATTCAGAATTTTGTTGTTTAATTTATGACATTCACTGTACCTTCAGAGTGTTCTCACCTCTGGGGAATATGCCAGGGTCCATGAAGGTGGCCATGCAGAAGTTGGCCAACACAAACAGGAAGATGACTCCATTGTAGATGGGAACAGCAACTGAGAAACACTCTGAAAGCCACGGACACCTGAAACAGGAACAGCACGGTCACATTACCAACAAACAGCTTACAACCTTTTGTTTCTATCTAAATTATCATCCTACCTGAAAGGAAAAAGGTTGGTCTATCTGTCTGTGTGTGCATTCCTTTAGTGTTAGCAAAATAGTTTTCCAACCACTGTATGAATTCTAATAATCATTATATACTCAAAATGTCAACAGAAATAACTTAAAACTGAAGAAAGAGATAAGACAAGCAGGAACCAAAGACTCAAAAGTCCTCAGTGTCAGATCAGAACAGAAGGACCTCACCTCCAACATGACCGTCTGACCCTACAGGTCGTGTCACATGATTTTTCCTTTTTAAATGTGACCCGTCACATCAAAATGAGGATTAAGTCTAAAAGCAGTATATGGAGAAATAGGCTAATATAGTGTTTTGATTAAAAAGTTAACAAAAATGGCATTTTGTCAAAATATAATGAATAAATGCCTTATCATTGTATCGAAATATAATCATAAAACAAAATTTTGAAGCACTTTTTTGAGC